ACAATGTGTCTAACAGGGATTATAAGTGTTATTACTGAGAATATGTTTTTCATTTATTTTGTGTAACAAACCTATAGATAGATTGTTACCCTCATCCTACAGATGAGGAATCTGAGGCACAGAGAAGTTAATAAGCTTGTTGCTGAAGGTAACACAGAGAAAATAGTAGTGACAGGACACGATCCCAGTTCTGTTAGACTCTAGAGCCCAAAAGTATAAAAGAAAATAAACATAGAGAAAAGGCCAGACTTGAGAATTCAGCATTTATGGTTAAGTGGAAGAAGCACTGGGTTTCCAATAATATATTAGAAATACTTTTTAAGTCATGGAAAATTTCCCTCTTTGCTCCCATGATAAATTTTGTGCCATTTTCCAAAAATTAAAGTTTAATTCAAATGAGGCTAAATCCTCTTTTATCAATATTGTCAAACAGTAAAATCCAGTCATCTTTTTAGCAAGTGAAAAGGAACTTCCAGAACAAAAGGCATACTTGTGATGTTGTTACCATCTTTATCCAGAATGGTTGTTTTATTTCCAGTTGCTCAGGCAGCTATTTATAGTTTATGAGGGACTCCAGAGTGTAAATGATTTGAAGATTAATAGATTCAACTTGTGTGTGAAAAGCATTCCTTTTTAACATGCTTTTGGTAGCATTAATAAAAACCATTTTGGAATCATGTTCTTTTGTTTTTCTGATCCCTGGCCTAAAGATATTCAGATATTTTTAAAAGTATGATGTTTATATTGCATATTACTTTTAAGTATCACTTCAGAACTGAGAATAAATGACAAAGGTACATATCATAATCTAGTTATGGTATCTGCTTGAGTCTTAAAAATAAAACCTGGTACTTACATATAAGCCCTTCGGGGAGGGTATAGCTCAAGTGGTAGAGTGCATACTTAGCATGCTTAAGGTCCTGGGTCCGATCCCCAGTACCTCCTCCAAAAATAAATAAATAAACCTAATTCCCCCCACAAAAAAATAAAAAAGTAAAAAAAAATATAAACCCTGAATTAAATAGGCCATTATTCTTCACCTTTATATTTGAAACCACTTTTCATGTTGCTGATTATCATCCAAAGAATAAAGAGATTGATTTCCTATTTTAAGATTGGAATATATATATAAATATAATTTATGCTATTATTTACACATTGTTATTGAACTATTATTTATGTATATGATATAATATGTATTTTATATATGTATTATTATTTACAATAAATAAATTATTATTATAGAGAGAAGATAACTGCTTCATACTTCTTTTTGTAGTTTCTCGTAGCAAAGCTGAAGTTTTTGGAGTGCAAGTGTGGCAGACTCCAGGATATTATGTGGTTTTATTTTAAGCTTTCTGTAGTAGTGTGTTTCATTCAGCTTGTAACAGTAAAAATAAGTGACTAATAGATGACTAGTATGTTTTGTCTGCTGTAGTAATAGTCTGTCATTGAATCTGGCTAACCAGCCAATTATTTTACTGTTGTCTGAAATAAAGATCACTATGTTTTCTGACAATGTAGGAATTTCTGTTCACTTAAAATATATGTTGTCATTGAAGTGAAAATAATGAAATTGCAAGAAATTGACTGATTTTAGCTGTATCACTGAACTCCTTCTCTAAAAAGTCAAATCCAAGTTATTTTAAAGTTCTTATAAAGTAGCTGAAATAGCATTAAAATATTAAAACTCAACCTTGACAGTTTTTAGTATAGATGATTAGCCTCTAAATTGTGACCTGAGATGTAAATGGTAGTGGTAGCATGTCTGGTCATTCACCTTGGTGTCCAGACTCCAAGATGGTCCCCAATGATCCCCTCCTGATATTCACACCTTTATGTAGTCCCCTCCCACATTTATGGGGGTTGGTCTCTATGATTGATAGAATACATCAGAAATGATGGAAAGTCACTTCTAAGGTTAGGTTATAAAAGACACTGGGACTTCCATCTTGGCGTGTCTGAGTCTGTCTCTCTCTCAAGTCACTTACTCTGTGGGAAGCCAGCATATGCCAGGAACCAGGCCTAACCCAACAGCCAATCTTGGAAATGGATCCTCCAGTTCTAATTGTGCCTTCAGATGACTGCAGCCCTCACCTCAGCCCCTCCCAGATTCCTGACCCTCAGAAACTGAGATAAAAAATGTTTACTAAACATTTAAATTTGGGGGTAATTTGTTTCGCAGGAATAGATAACCAACACACACCTCCACTAAAGCTCTTTCATTTGTCAAATCTTAACCTCTTTTTTTGGTTATTGTTGTCATTATTTGTGCTGTTAAACCTGTAATCCATACAATTCACCTGACTGAAGCCTTAGGTTGGTTGGAAAATGCTATATTCTGTCTCCCATCTTCCAATCCAGTGTTTGATAGAATAAACACAGAATTCACTTTTCCCATGTTTGGGTCCTATATTAGAATGTACTTAAAAGAATTGTTTTGTGACAAGGAGCCTTTTTTAGATTATTCCACAGATTCTTTTCATTTATGTGTGAAGCCACCAGTTTTGTATAACTTGTAATTACTGTGCAAGTGATTATGGAATTACTTCAAGAGAAAACAGACAGCTTAACAACTATTCTCGGCGTAGTCTGCGACCTCACCAAAGAAGCTCCTCATCTATTACTTGTAACTCTGTGATGCTTATTAATTATACAGGATAATAACAGTGTGGGCTTTATAAAGTCATATTTTTAAGGATTAGTTAACTACATATTCAAACTTAAGAGACAGCTTCTCAGCAGATCTGATGTCAAGATCATGAGGTATATTCCCAGCTCTGCTCTCCTACCCCACTTTATCCACGGTGTTCTGAAAAGGAAAAGTTCATAAAAATACTCAGGTTTACTTTTTCCTTTTTGCCCTGCTAAACCAATTTCAGTACCACTAATCACTCCTTTTCCTAGCTAATAATACAGAAAATGTAATCATGAATAAAAGATGTGGCAGAAAAGTGAAATTTCAACTTCTTAAAGAGTTTTATTTTCCTCTTGCTTCCTTTGTCTAAGTGTTTTTCTACACATGGATTTGCCTAAGAACATGAATAGCTAAAAATAGATACTTTGATTGGATCTCATGTCTTCATACCTGAATTTAGAGAAATAGATGTTCTTGGGTGAAAACATTGATGAGTCCTGTGTTGTTTGACATTGCTTTAAAGATGTAACTAAAAACTAGCTCTTTTGTTTACTCTTGCTATGATTTTTAAAAATAATTATAAAAATAGCCAGTTTTGGAATTGGTCTTATCTTTCTCCATCCTAAATGAATGAGATTATTTTGAATTTTTACTGAAAATTTCCTTTTTCATTTGGAGCTGAAAAAAATAGGATTGTCTTTCACATTCCTCCCCCCTTTAATTCACATGCTCACATGTGCACACACATGCGCACTTGTAATGAGGTTAGGGAGGATGGTTATCAGTAACTTAAAGGAACAAATGGATTTCACTCTTCAGATTTCCAATATTCAGATACTATCCATGACGAATACTCCCAATAATGTTATCACTTAAGACGGTTGCAGTGAAGCCAGAAGAAAAACCCAGGGTTTCTAACTGTGCTTTGAACATTTGCCAACTGGTACCAACACAAATGTGTAGCACAAAGCTAAGTAATTCCTGGGTCTTTGAGTTGGACAGTCTCTGAAGAAGGAGGCATCAGATTTTCAGCACTGAATCATACTTCTGTATTAAAGAAACGCTATGTTTGCTTTATTCTCTTGAGGGTTTCTGTTGTTTTTTAAGCATGGCTGTTGAATTATGTATTTTTCTCTTCAAATGGGTTACTATTTATGGGTGGTGGTAAAAAAAAACCACATGGATCCTGATGAAATAATTTTTTTAAAATTGAGAAATAACAGTAGTTTTCATAACTAGGTTTCATTTAAAAGCTTAAGTTATATAGTACTTTGCTATGGTTTTTGAGAAATTTTCGTCAACTCTGTATTAACACTTCATTTTTATAAATTGTGAAATGTCTCAGGAAACTTTTTAATGTCTGTGTAGTAAAGTAATTGTTAATGTCACTCTGTTCACCTGCATAGAATATATGATGCTCACATGAAGTAGTGCTTCAGACCCCTCCTAGCAGAGGTAAGAAGGAAGCCTAAGAACCTCCTTCCACTCCCCTCCTGACCCCGCGACCTGACTTGGCTCCCAAGCCCAAAGCCTGAGGCCAGCCTCCAAGCGCCAGCCCACATTCCTTGCTCAGGTGCTCTCTCATCCCCAAAGCTCACCAAGGGACAGAAAGGAGGATAGAGGATACCAGCTGAGCAGAAACTAGAAGAGGGGGTGGAATTTGGCAGCAGGTAGAGGGGATTTCGTCTGCACCTCTAGTGGCGAGTGTCTGCGCCTTCTTAGACCCACCAACAACTGAGTGAAGTTCTGTAGGGACAAATGGCAAATAGTCCTCAATTATAATGTAAAAAATATTATTAGTGTCCTTTACTTAATCTACAGCCACCCTGTTAGGTCTCTAAGTATATAAACTCACAAAAGTATTAAGCTTACCCTATTTTAGAAATGCAAATACCATGACACAGAAAGAGAAGGTGCGATATACCTGTTAGTGGTACAAGCATTCATAAGCTAAGGCAGTAAGCGTGGTGCTTAGGGACCACGCTTACTGGGTTTAAATTCCAGTCCTGACAGCTTGCTAGATGAGTAACTGGAAACAAGTTATTTGACCTCTCTGTAATAGTTTTCTCATCTGCAAAATGGAGATGATAGTACTGCCTTATAGAGTTGTAAATCTTAAATAAGGCAATATGAATCTGAACACTTGGAACAATGCCTAACACATGATTAACCCTATAGAAGTATGTGTTCTCCTTAATATGCTAGACCCCCTTTCTGATGTTTGGGTATTTTGATGGCCCGATCTGATTTGTAGTTAGCGGGCTACTTCATCCTGCCACCACCACCTTTAATGTCTAACTGTGAGCAAATCTCCTCCTCAGCAGTATTTAAAGGAAAATGTTTATTTTTCCTTCTTTCCCAGGCGCAACACAGAGACACTTTCATTGAAGAACGCTATGGAAAATACAACATCAGTGACCCTTTAATGGCGCTCCAGAGAGACTTTGAAACACTGAAGGAGAAGAACGATGGTGAGAAGCAGCCGGTCTGCACAAACCCACTCTCGATTCTGAAGGTGGTGATGAAGCAGTGCAAGAACATGCAGGAGCGCATGCTGTCCCAGCTGGCCGCCGCTGAGAGCCGGCACCGGAAGGTGGGTTCACCCGTTGACTCGCCTGCATCACCTCCTGCGAAGATTGTATAAGTAATGCCTGGTACTTTCTTGTCTGCATCCAGTTCTCACAGTCATTCAACTGGGAGGTCTCACAGGTGTGAGAAAGCCCCTTAGCTTACCTAGGAGCCCGGAGATGGGAAACACAGGTTATTCCAGATGTTCAGTGTAGGGCATGTGCCAGACACATTATTTAAGATGGCATTCCTTCTGATATGACCCTCCAAAACACTTGGTGTGTTTTTTCAACTCTTGATCATCCAAACTTTGGCAACAGACTGGGTTTGACTAAGCCTTGTAGCTGAACAGAGCGTTCTCTATTTGCTTACTTAAGTGATAAATAGAAGATTAACAGGTATTTGGGGAATGCTGTATCAGAGAGAGAGGGAGGAAGGGAATTTACCTGGCTATAAACATACAAGCCAGTAGATTGTT